TGACAGTCATTAGCGGTGTGAAATCAGACACTGACAGTAGCAGGAAGAGCACAGATCAGTTGTCTGTGTCCTGAACACCGCTGCGCTGGGTGTTGGTCAGGCCAGATCTTAAAAATGAAGATTTAACAGGTTTCTTTTATTTCTTGGATTTACATATGTAGGTGAGAGTGGGGTAAGATGTGCCATAGGCAAGATGTTTATTTAAACCTGTAATTTAGCTAAATGTGTAGTTTTTGTCAAATAACTGTGTTTATACTAAAGGACTTGTGTCATACAGCTGTCTGAAGATTTTTTCTTTTTGTTAAAATTAGTTTTTACATGGCAGAAATATCGCACAAGTGAGGGAATAAATGTATTTTATATTACTCAAAATACTCATTATTTTATTATAGATTCACTCTATATTACTCAATATACTCAATATTTTATTATGAATTTACTCCATATTACTCAAAATACCCAATATTTTATTTTAAAATTACTCTATAATGCTCAAAATACTAAATTTTATAATGAATTTACTCCATATTACTCAAAATCCTCAATATTTTATTAAAAAATGACCCTATTTTACTTAAAATACTCAATATTTTATTATGAAATTACTCAAAATACTAAACATTTTATTATGAAATTACTCCATATTACTCAAAATACCCAATAATTTATTATGAAATTACTCCATATTACTCAAAATACCCAACATTTTATTTTAAAATAACTCTATATTGCTCAAAATACTCACAATTTTATTATAAAATGACTCAAAATACTCAACATTTTATTATGAAATTACTCCATATAACTCAAAATCCTCAATATTTTATTTTAAAATGACTCTATATTGCTCAAAATACTCAATATTTTTTAATATGAAATTACTCCATATTACTCAAAATACTCAATATTTTGTTATATGAAATGACTCTATATTACTCAAAATACTCAATATTTTTTTATATGAAATTACTCCATAGTACTTAAAATACCCAAATTTTATTTTAAAATTATTCTATATTGCTCAAAATACTCAATATTTTATTTTAAAATGACTTTTGTATTACTCAAAATATTATAAAATACTAAAACTTTTATAATGAAATCGCTCTTTATTATTCAAACAACTCAACATTTTATTATAAAATTATTACTCCAAATACTCAATGTTTTATTATGGAATTTTGAAATGGTTATTAATGAAAATAATAAAGTTGCCTAAAACAAATGATTCTATAGACTAAAACTAAATAGATCTTTTGTATAAAAAACACATTTATTTTACCTGCAGTACTATACAAAGAGGAGAAAGGGAAAAAATATAGTAAAAAGAACCATATGAAATAAAAATAAACTACACATTATTGCTTATATTTTCTTTATATGCATATACAAGCACATTAAAGATTTTACCTACCAGATTATGACTTAAATAGATTTATTAATAGGTTAAATATTCTAGTCAGGGCTTCACTGACAAATTCTATAAAACTTGGACCCCATTCTAACTTTGTTTGACTCTTTGACCTCATTAGATTCTGACTGAGATTGTCAGGGGTGCCATCTGGTTGTGTGAGTATTCTTCCTGTATTGTGTATAAGTTATTTCCTTTTTTCTTTTTTTACATTTAAGGACCAAATACTTTAATATATAGTCTCATTGTTTATTTTGTGTATATTTAATACCTACCTATAATTAATACATACTTTTAAACCTCACATTAGTGCATAACTTTTAATAGCTAGCTTTGCATCCAATTTAAATTCAGTATTTTATCAGCAGTTAAAGTTGTTTGACAATAGTTTATTACATTGAAATATTAGAATTTCAATATGCTAACTTCTAAAGTTACAAATACGCTACACACAAAAATCATAAATGTCTTTCAAAAACCTCCAGATCTCAAACCATTACAATAAGTGATTCATGCAATCGCCAAAAACTTCCCTCTTGATTTGACACAAATAATCCCTTATGTATGACAACTCAGCATTATAAGCCCCTGTGTCCCTCTGCAACATCAAACATCCTCAACTATAATTACATGCTTTATTTGACACCTAATGTCTATTTACCCAGAGGTCAACTAAAGTAAAAAGTGACCCATCTTACCCCACTCTCTGTATGCACATTAGCTGAATGCTGTTTTTATTGGTTGGTCTTTAATGACTGTGTTTTGTCTGGAGTGTGATTGTTTGTGTCAGTCCGTCTGTACTGATGATCAGTCCCTGTCTCTGAGGGCCTCACACACACACACACACTTTCACACCTCACACAAAGCTCTGACAGCAGTTAGACTTTACTGCCCGTCGGCCCGCTGGCTTTACGAGACAGTCAGATCCCGCTCGCTGTAAAGCCGTCAGTCAAACAAAGAGGGCAGGTGCGAGTCTGCCTGGAGTGCTCACCTGCACCCAGCGGGGGATGAGGCCTATTCAGGATGGCCGCTCATCTGCGCTCCTCAACTTCTCTGTGGCCCGAATAAGAAGATCCTCAGTCTTTTTCAGTGATGTGCGTCTTATTGGTGAAAAAAACTGGGCTCGGACAAAGAGATCTGTAGAGATGAGAGTGCTGAGGATTATAGACTGTAAAGAAGAATGTGCACTCTACAAATGCTGGGTTGTCGTAATCCAATGTTGGGTCAAATATAGTCAAAGCCAAAATTGGGTGAATTTTTTCAAATAAATTGAAATTACACTTTTAAACCCAACTGTTGGGTTATAACAACTAAGCATGTTTAGTTCAGAAATAATGAAGAAAATTTTAAAACAGTGTCAAATGGAGTGTTTGCAATTTTGACAGGAAGTTTAATGTTTGGATCTAGTGTGCAAATGGTGCTCCTCAAAATATTTTAGATTACTTGATTATATATATTCGATCATATATTTTCTTTTTCGGCTTAGTTCCTTTATTAATCTGGGGTCGCCACAGCGGAATGAACCACCAACTTATCCAGCATATGCTTTACACAGTGCATGCCCTTCCAGCTGCAGCCCATCACTGGGAAACATCCATACACACTCATTCACACTCTTACACAATGGATAATTTAGCCCACCCAATTCACCTATAGCGCATGTCTTTCGACTTGTGGGGGAAGCCAGAGGAGTCGAAGAAAACCCACCCGAACAAAAGGAGAACATGCAAACTTCACAGAAAAGCCAACCGACCCAGACGAGGCTCGAACCAGCGACCTTCTTGCTGTGAGGCGATCGTGCTACTCACTGTGCCACCATGATGACGCCCTATCTCCATATATATTTTAGTAAAAATAGTTGATTATTGTTGATATTAGTTCTTACTGAGCTGCTATGAATTAATTTGTATAATTCTTCATACAATTAGTTGTGAGCTGATGAGAAACAGCGTTTAAAAATCATCTCCCAACGAAATATTTCTGAGAGATATACGATATGTTTACAAGGATTTCAAGTAATATCTGAAGCTGTTTATCCAATTAAGAATTCATTTACATGACAAGTGGTTTCAAAGTTTTAAAAACACAAACCTACAAACCTTACACTCATTCATTTTCCTTTGGCTTATTCCCTTTATTCATCATCCACAGCAGAATGTAGGCGACTTATCCAGTATATGTTTTACACAGTGGATGCCCTTCCAGCTGCAACCCAGTACTGGGAAACACCCATACACACTCATTCACATACATACAATATGGACAATTAAGTTTATTCAATTTACCTATAGCACATGTGGGGGACTGTGGGGGAAACTGGAGCATCCGGAGGACACCCACACAAACACAGGTAGAACATGCAAACTCCACACAGAAATGGCAACTGAGCCAGCCGGGGCTCGAATCAGCAACCTTCTTGCTGTGAGATGACAGTGCTAACCACTGAGCTAATGCGTCACCCTAAATGTGCAAGTTTTTGAAAAAGTCCCAATATCAACTTTAAATTCTGTTATAAATGTGACATCATACATATTACATATGTAGACTATGTAGACCAGATTTGTGTAAAAACTCCAAACAAAACAAACATAATAAAAAGAAATCTTTAAAAAATTGTGTAATAACAATGAAATAACACAAGGAGAAAATACTAAACTACTGAAATGTATTCAATGCTTCATATAAAAGGCTTTTTTGGTGATGGCAGCTTAAAGACACCTCTCATATGGAGAATGAAGTCATATCAATTGCTCAGGTGTGGGTTTTTCACAGACTTAAACAGAGTGTAAACATCTTGATGATTCTGTGGGTCTCATCTATCCAATCTGATCATTTTGTATTTTATATTGGATTCAAGTCAGGTGATAGGCTGGACCATTCTACAGCCTAATTTTCTTTCTCTGAAAGCATCTGAGAGTTTCCTTGGCTGAGTTTTGGATCATTGTCTTGCTGAAATGTCAACTCTGGTTTCATTTTCATCATCCTGCTAATGTTAGACTGAAGCAGCTTATATTAATTTACAATAACAAAGGGCAGAGGGTTGCCAAATAACTTTTGAGAGATTTCAGCTGCTGTCTGGGCTTTCACTGCCTTTCTACACCTCCATTTCTTTATGTGTTCAATACATTTCCTTGCGTCATTTCATTTTATTTCACATAACTTAGTTTGTAAACTAATTAGCTTTGTTAGCTTTCTGAGAAAAAGCATTGTTCACCCATTTTTTTTTAGCATTTACTCACCTTCAAGTGCTAAACCTTTATGATTTTGTTTGAGAAGGCTGAAGCCTTCCATAGTTAGGTGGAAAATATGATGCAAGTGAATAACTATATCGGTTTTCTTCTTATTAAGATCATTTCAGTTTGGTTTTCTTTATCTATTGAAAGAAGCATCCTGAAGTCTGCTTTAAAAAAGACAAGCAGAATCAAACAATTTGCGAAAACAATTGTGAAAACGGCCTAAACGAGAAACAGAGCTCTAAAGCAGCTGCCATAATTAATGAAATACTGCACACTCCTGATTAAATTAAAGTGGCCTTTTAAGCTATAATTAAATCAGAATATAATATAAATGTTTCTCTGTCTGTTGGCAGGCTTGGAGCGACTGAAGCTGCTGTCCGGTTTGAAGATGCTCATTAGGACACAACAGGAAGCAGTTGGTCAGTTAGTAGAGCACATGCAGGTTACCAGCAACAGGTGGACAGCAGCACACAGGCACATATGAAGGGAAGGCAGGCAGGCAGACAGACAGACAGACAGACGTACCAGGCGGGCAGGCAGACAGCGGGCAGACAGCAGGGGTAGGTGCCTGAGAGTCCGCACTGTGGCAGAGTAACAGATGTGTGGTGAATCTTTAACTTCGCTCACTCCCCACTGTCACTGCATCTGTGCGCAGCCCCTCTGCCTCAGCCAAACCCCCTCCTGTGTGAAAGAACGCAACAATAAAAAGCTATCAGTGCACTTATTGATTAGCCTGCGGTGTCAGGGATGCTGATATTTAATGATCTGCAGGTCACACCGTCTTTCTGCAGGTTACGGTGGTGCTCTTTCTGTTAAACGTTTAATTAAAAATCAATGATGAATGCTCCGTATCAAGCCAATCTGTTATGACATTCTCCAATATTTGCTGTTGTTGAGAAATCTAAATGGTAGAGTGTAACTCTTTTAATGATTATGCTTAGTCTTGTCTTTCAGTATCTGAACATTCTAAAATCAACATACATTTATTATTAAATAAAATAATAAGATAAACAGATATAATCATTGATAAGTTATATCTGCTAGTTGGTTCAGAAGAGTTAACTTGTTTTGCCTTTTTTTCTGATCTCAGTTTTTTTTTAGAGAAAAATAATATGATTTTCTTATAAATCGTTTTATTGTCATCCCAATATGATGATTTACTCAATCATTTATTTTTTTAAATTCTATATATTAATGATTATCTTATATTTTTGGATTGTAACATGAACAAATCATTCAAAAGAAGATACTTTATTTGAAACTGTTAGATTAATAATTAATTTATGAATTACATACTGCATTATACTTGGATTTTTATTAAAGGGGTGGTCCACTATGATATCATATTTTAGTTGATGTGTAATGAAGCTGTGTGAACATAAACAACATCTCTGAATGTAAAAAGTTCTAAGTTCAATGGAAAGGGAGACCTTGGTTTTTACAAAGTTAGCTTAGCAAAGCCTACAATAAACGAATTTTGGGGACTACAAAAAATACTTCTGCCCCCTGTGAGATCACAAAGGTTTGTTTACTGCGCACACAAACTGTGCAGCTAAGGGCCGTACCAGAGGCACTGTAACGTTATAGCAGAGATGAAGCAAAAAATGCGTCTAAACACTGCTGTTTCCACAGAGCTTCGTCTGTTTCTGTATTTGGGCTTCCAAATAACAGAACACAAAGACAGAAGTGGTTACAGTTCAATATTAATTATGTTCCAGAGAATTATAAAATACATATCAAGGATGATTTGACAAAACAGCTTCCAGAATCTCTTCCTGTTCAGTAGGGGTGTCAAAATTAATCGTTTCTTTGGTGCACCGCGATGTAGACGCAGACAATTCGGTATCGGTTCAGTAATAATCACAACCTGTTATTACTGACGTCATTTACCTCATATGCGCTTTGTTGCGAGGGAGGCGAGCGCGAGTATTTACAATGCTCTAACTACTTAAAACTCATTAACTGTGCACAAATTCACTGTGTGTGTTTGCTTGATCAGTCTTTCACTGGAATATACAGCTAAAGCCCCTATTTCACTGAGATCGAGAGAATGAAAGTACTCCATTTCTCTCTCTCTCTCTCTCTCTCTCTCTCTCACTCACACACACACACAGACACACACAGTGGCCCATTTGACCTGCTGGCGTGACTTTTCCTCTCTTCTCGGCTGTTTTACAGAGTTACTTCTAGATACAGACACGAGCGAATGTCTGCAAAGTTTTCTCCACCGTGTCTATCATAGATCAGCTGTGATCGCAGCTGCCGCCTGCCGCTTTTCAGTGTCACTCATCTGTGAAGAGCGCAGCGCGCAAGAGCCAATTGCTACCGTTTTTGTTGAGGGTGTGACCAATCAAAGAGGTGTAAGAGAACTAGACAAGGATCAGAAAGTGAGCTGAATATTTATATTTGTTTATATTATTTGCTAAATGCTCGTGTTGTTTAAAGATACAGTTTATATATCTGACTGTTTGTATTAAATGACAAAATTGTATTACAAGTAGTATATATATATATATATATATATTATTTGTAATACAATTTTGTCATTTAATACAAACAGTCAGATATATAAACTGTATATATAGAATATTTATATATATTTATACATTTTAATACAAGAACTGCTGCTGTGAAGAAAATATAAAACTGTGTATGAAAAGCACCATCAATGCACCATGATGCACCGAGGTATCGAATTAAACCGAATCAATGGCATGATAATCGTAACCGAACCGAACCGTGAGACTAGTGCAGGTACACAGCTCTACTGTTCAGTGCTGGATACGGTTAAAAATCACCTCAAAGCAGAAGCTGTAAACTAAAACCTGTAAGTGTTTTTATTTGTTAAAATTGATCATGACATGTACAGTGTCTAGCGTTAACGGTAAGCTGTAGCAACAATGTAAACAATAGAAAATGCTGCTTTGCACCGCTAACGATTTAGCTACAAATTCATATTAATCAGTCAAACTGCTGTAAACACACACACTCCACCAGCACGTTCCTGTCTCTTATGTGTGTGCGCGACTGCATTGATTGTCTTTAGGCAGCTTTTCCATGCGTTTCACATCTCAGATAATGAAGTCGCAAAAGATATGTGGATGATTCATATTACTTACACCTGTATATTCCGGATATATGTGAAATGTGATATATGTTTACATAATTATTGTAAAAAGTGCTACATCATAAAATTCTTTATTTTTACTTTGAAAAAAACCTCTAACTGAACTCAAATTTTGAAATAGTACTGCATATAATATTTTTACCATAGGTTTTACATACATATTGGAAGACATGTTGATGTGCATAAATATAGAATTTGGACCTTCAGATCATCTCCGCACAATAGGAACAAACTGAAACAGCATCAAAGCTCATTGTCCTGCAGTTTAGCCCTTATTAGAAATAACAGATATGTCACTGACATAACACTGTATTAGTAGTGTTTTACTGTCAATTATTTCAAATAAGGCAGCATCTGATCAAAGATATAGTAAAACAGCAGCATTACTGTTAAATATATAAAGTTTAAATAGCTGTATTCTAATTCAGATCTACTTTTATTACTGTCATGTCCATCCTCTAGTCTACAGTGTCAAATGACCCTTCAGCAATCTTTCTAAAATGCTAAATTGCTGTAATTAATTTGATACGATTAATATGCAGATTTAATGTTATTATCAATTCATTATATCATTATGCTGAAAACATAACATTTTTCATAACACTTAACATTTTTTATGGATCAGTCATACATTTTAAGGATTCCTTGATGAATAGAAAGTTCAAAGTACAACATTCCTTTTAAAATAGAAATCTTCTGTAGTATTATGAAAGTCTTTACTGTTACTTTTGACCAATGTGATGAAACCCTACTGAATTAATGTTTAAAAAAATCCCTTTAAACTGTAGTCCATAAAATACATACAGTGCATCCAGAAAGTATTCATAGCGCTTCACTTTTCCCACATTTTTTTATGTTACAGCTTTATTCCAAAATGGATTAAATTCATTTATTTCCTCACAATTCTGAACACAACACCCCATAATGACAATGTAAAAAAATGGATTATTGTAAATTCATTAAAAATAAAAAACCTGAAAAACCACATTCATAAGTATTCACAGCCTTCGCTCAATGCTTTGTTGATGCACCTTTGGCAGCAATTACAGTCTCAAGTCTTTTTGAATATGATTTCACAAGCTTGGCACACCTGTCTTTGGGAATTTTTGCCAATTCCTCTTTGCAGTACCTCTCAATCTCTATCAGGTTGGATGGAAAGCGACGATGTACAGCCATTTTCAGATCTCTCCAGAGATGTTCAAAAGGATTTAGGTCTGGGCTCTAGCTGGGCCACTCAAGGACATTCACCGAGTTGTGAAGCCATTCCATTGATTTTTTGGCAGTGTGCTTTGGGTCATTGTCCTGCTGGAAGATGAACCGTCACCTCAATCTGAGGTCAAGAGCACTCTAAAGCAGGTTTTCATTCAAGATGTCTCTGTACAATGCTGCATTCATCTTTCCTTCTATCCTGACTAGTCTTCCAGATCCTGCTGCTGATATGATATTAGCCTGGATTCACTTCAAAGAGTTCAATTTTAGTCTCAGCAGACCAGAGAATTTTGTTATTGATCAAGGCCCTTCTCCCCCGATCACTCAGCTTAGATGACCGGCCAGCTCAAGGAAGAGTCCTGGTGGGTTCCAAACATCTTTCACTTATGGATGATGGAGGCCACTGTGCTCATTAGAACTTTCAGAGCAGCAAAAATGTTACTGTAACCTCCCCAGCCTTGTGCCTCGAGACAATCCTGTCTCGGAGGTCTACAGACAATTCCTTTGTCTTCATGCTTGGTTTGTGCTTTGACATGCACTGTCAACCCTGGGACCTTATATAGAAAGGTGTATGCCTTTTCAAATCATGTCCAATTAACTGAATTTCCACCGATGAACTCCAATTAAGCTGCTGAAACAGCTCAGGAATGATCAGTGAAAACAAAATGTACCTGAGCTCAAATTAGAGCTTCACGGGCAAAGGCTTTAGAGCTTCAGGAGTAATACTTATGTATATGTGATTTTTCAGTTATTTTTTATTTTTAATAAATTTGCAACAATTTTACAAAATCTTTTTTCACATTGTCATAATGGGGAATTGTGTGTAGGTTCCATATAACAACTATGTTCGTTTTGAAGAGTCCCCCTTCCACCCCTTACTCCTCCTTTTTTCCTAGATAGGTAGCACGGTGGATCAGTGGTTAGCACTTTTGCCTCACTGCAAGAACATCACTGGTTCTAGTCCTTACCAAGCCAACGGACATTTCTGTTCAGAGTTTACATGTTCTCCCCGTGCTCACGTGGGTTTCCCCTGGGTACCCCGGTACCATAGACATGCTCCTAGTTAGTAGTTATCTCTTAAGAGCAATCACTTAATGTTCATTAGCTACTACAGCAGGGGAGTTCTTGAGATCTACCTGAGCTCAAACTCCTCTCTTGCCTTGCAAATAAGAGACAACCCCGGGCTCAAGGATCTTATGAGCTCAGGGCTCTCTCCCGGGACAG